CTAGGAATTAGAAGACTCCAGATGTCGCACAGTGGTTCCTTTTTGGGTTCTGCGTAGCTAAATTCTGTAACTTTCTTATTTATCATCAGATTGTGTGGAAATTTGGAGGGAACATTACTGAGTATATATAATAGTTATTTGCGAAAAATTAGTCGATACTTTAATTATTTTTGAAGTTATTAAAGTTTAAAAATGATTTTTTTTTTATATTTTTACTTCCAAGTAATACTTCTTTTATTTTTTATATGGGTATTTCCAGGAGGGCGGAAAGTCGAAATTTTTTGGTTTTTTTAAGATATCTCAAAAAGTAAAAACATTTATAGATCATGTTTATATCCAACTTTGTAGGTTTGGTGAAGTACTACAATACTGCGTTTTAAAAAAAATAGTTTTAGCCGCTGTATTGATAAAAGGATTGAACAAACATGCGGACACACATTTTTCCAATATTTTTTTGTATGTTGGTAATATTAAACAGTGTATTTTTCTTAATATATTTCTCAATAATATGTATTGAGATTTCGTAAAATCCATTTCAATATAAACACTCAAAGCTTCATCATTGTCGAAAGGAATGGAACATTCTTCCTCATTGAGCATTTTAAGAATTTGTCCTTTTTTTTCTCTGCTGGTCGATCTTAATAGCTCTATTATTTCTGCTTCTTCTGATTCATGAATAGATCGTAATCCTTGGATATATGCACTGCGCAAGTGATCAAGACCTGTTTCTTTAATCAAAGCCGTGTTTTTCTTTTTCTTCGTCAGATTTGAAGCTTCTTCGAAAGATGTAGATGGTCGCCCTCTTTTCACTGAAGACGAAGAACATGCCTGAGAATCTGGGATTTCTACGCAAAATTCCTCATTAATCCAATCCTCATATCTTTTTAGGAAAAACGTTTTATTTCGATTGCACTTATTCCAACGTGTATTGAAATGCGGAATCAAGGTTCTGGTTACATGATTCATTACATGATTGATGGACTTTTCGCATATATTAAATTTACCCTCTATGTAAATTCTTATTGCAGAATCACTTTTATTGTTATTTATGTAAGACAAAATTAAATCTTTTTTTTTACACTTAAATTCTTCCATTATTAATAACTCTTGTTACACCAATATTTCAAATTATACAACTTACAAGAAACGTTTCATACAGATCAAATGTGACTATGAAGAATTTAGTTGCAGTTCTGTTATTTTTTGCAACAAATATAACATTGTTCTAAAAATAAACATTGAAGTCATCGGCTTCAGAGCGCGTAATAGGAAAGTAAATCTCCGAAAAATAGAATAATGCGAAGCTGCCATTACGAAACAACAACAACCACATTGGCGGTGTAATCTTCTCTGACATACTCTCATTTTGACTAACAACAAAAACTGATCAAAATAACTCGCTTTAAGTGCATTCGCACCTACAACATAAGGAACAATTGATCAATAACCACATACCACAAATATAAAGCATATAGTTTATTACATGTATGATAGCTTAGCAAATAAGACTCTGGTGATTCAAAAAGCAGTTGCGGGTTCGAATCCCACCAAAGGCATTTTTTTTTTAATATTATTTACACAATAATTCTTTATGATAATATTT